GGGACACACAGCCTGACCCGGTGCCGGTGCTCACCTGTCCAGATGACACCGATCCCCGGGAGCAGCTCCTGGCCGATGGTCTGCAGGTAGCAGGACTGGCTGGGGCTGGGGGAGCAGAGCGAGCTGCAATATTCTGGGGAGAGAGCACAGAGCATCCCCTGAGGGCTGGGCAGGGGGACAGGAGAGGCTGCTGGGGTCAYGGACAGGGGCTGGGGGRTYCCAAAAYGTCCAGAGCTCCCCTGGAAGCACGAGGAATTTGGGGAGAGCCATAGGAGCTGCCAGGGCACTCAGCTGCCAGCGGGGAGAGGGGCAGGGTGCAGTAAAAGGGCACCCCAGTCTGGGGGGCTCCAGTTTGGGGGTCTGCAGGGCTGCAGGCAGTACCTGTAGGGCAGAAAAGGAAGACGGAGGGCTGGCCCAGCTCCTGGTACACCTCGTTGGCCACAGAGGCCTGAGCCTGAGCCAGGGAGGGGAAGACGTCTCTGTCAGCTTGGCACATGCAGGGGTCGATGTCGTCAAAGAGCAGCGCGAAGGAGCAGCACCCCATGGCGGCCACCTGCGGGCACAGACAGGGGCTGCTGGATCCCTGGGCAGCAGAGAGGAGGCAGAGAGCCCCGGGGAGCGGGAGAGGGCAGCTGGGCACGGCCCAGCACAGGGCTGTGCCACTGGAGTAGCAGCCACCCCACCATGCCAGCAGCTCTTTGCCCTCYCTGGRRAGCCAGGGCTCAGCTCTCAGCCTGTGCCAGCCCTCAGGGCTGCCCAGCAGGTTCTGGGGCTTGGCTGGTCCTTCCCCTGCCCCCAGTCAGGCATCCATGGAGCCCTCAGCTCTGTCACCATGACAGGGACAGCACATTGGGCACTGGGCACCCCAGAGCTGCTCCCTGATGGCAGCAGGAGGGGTTTAAAGCCCCACACCAGTCCTTGGGATGGGCACAGAGACCTCACAGACCCCTTTCCTGGGAGCAGTGRGATGAAGGAATGGCCCACGGTACCTGCCTGAGTTTTTGCTGCAGCAGAAGCCGATCCCCAGCGCTGGAGAACACCATGTCCTGGCCAGCAGAAATGGCGAAAATGAACTCCACACCCTGCTCTTGGGCAGCTTCGATGAGAGACCGCATGCGGGCTGGGGACAGAGCACAGCGGGTCCGTGAGAGCTGGGAGGCACAGGATGGAGGGGAACAAGGGATGGAGGGGACAGGGATGGAGGGGAGAAGGGATGGAGGGGGAGAAGGGATGGAGGGGAATAAGTGATGGAGGGCACAAGGAATGGAGGCTTAGGGGAGACCATTTCCACTCCGTTAGGACACACAGGACTTTTGACAAGGGTCTGTGGACCAGAGATCCCATTGCCAGAGACCCACACGGGGAGTTCCCCATGCTGGCTGGGCTCCTAGGCAATCCCAGTGGGCTGAGGTCTTGTTGCACTTGGCAGGGTCTGGGGGCTTCCATGCAGGGTCCTGGCAGGTTGGGAACAGCTGGGACACAGCCCATGCTTCCCCCTCAGGGACCCGGGACGCCTGCAGCCCCCCGTGGGGCCCCACAGAGCCGCTACCTGCCTCATGCTCTGTGTAGGGCTCTCTCCAGAGCAGCCGGTGCTTCAGCTCGTCCTTGGGTGCGTACATGTAGCAGTTCAGCCCCCGGCGGCGCAGCCTGTGCAGAGAGAGCGAGGACTCAGCAAGACTCCACACGGGCTCATTGCTCGGCCACATGGAGACAAATCTCACCCAGTGCTCCCGGTGCTGAGCTCTGGAATTTGTGTCAGAGACCAGCAGGATGTGCCCCCTGGGAGGGCAGACACCCCCCTCTTTTCTGCTGTATGGAGCCATGATATATTAATTTATTTTTATTTATCCTCCTCAGCAGACGATGTTTTACATTTTCCTATGGTCAACAGAGTAAGAAGCACTTTAGGTATCTCATGATACAAATCCCTTATCTTGTTTCTTTCCAGRTAAGAAAAGCACGGCTGGACATGTCACTGTCATGTGAACCATGTGAACACATCCCAGCCCAGCACCAGACAAGGCCCTGTTAGCYCTTCTCATTCCTGAGGTGCTTTAAAACATCACAGCTTCTTTTCCTTCMATTTTTCTGCACCTTTATCTTTAGTCCCTGCACTCTGGCCTTTAATTGCACTGCACTG